CCCCATTGCCTACGCCTTCTTCAAACCAGGTCATGCGCAGACCCCGTGGCGGAAACATGAGGGAACTAATGTGACTCCACAGGTAGTACTCATATCCGTTGGCGGAAACATGTGGAAACTAACATGGACAGCCAGCCGCTAGCAGCAAAAGTTGCCCAGAATCGGAAAGCAGTCAATTAGGCAGAGTTCAGATCAGGTGGCGGAAACTAAAGTGGCTCCCCACTCAAAGCCTCTGTGCATGTAAGTTCCATCCCATAGACCGGAACATGGAATAGGATTGTAACCGCACATACCAGTTTGGGTGCGTTTCATGCAATAAAAACGGAAGACGCCCTAATTTGAGTTCGGTGGTGGGCAGGGTCATGACCTTAGCCTCTTTGTGGCAACCTAGAGTATCTTCATCTGCGAACTCTGAGTTCGGCTTCTCGCGAGGTGCATCAGCCTTCAAATTTGCCTAGTGCTTCTCTTGACCGCCCTGAGGACATGGCACTGATTTTTCTGCATTGTCGAGCTCTGGGTCAGGTGTTCGCGAAAGAGAGGTTGCCTCAGCGCTCCACGAACCCAGCAGCTGCAGCCAAGTATTGCACAGCCCGCCTTTGTGTTGGTGTTTGCGTCATCTATACCGAAGCAATCACCACCGCTTGCCTCCATGCAAGACCTGACACCACGCAGAAGGTGACAGCTCCACGTGCCGTGCCGTTCGCACAGATGCAGAACAACCTCGCCCGCACCAAGACTGGCAGCGAAACACCGCATTGACGATACGCAGGGAAGTTAGCCAATTCTGAATGACGGCCGGTTGAGGTCTGCTAGCATGACAAGTTTTTGGGGATGTTGCGGTGCTTGAGCCAAGGGTTAAAACATGCAGATATGTGCGACGGCAAGTTTGCTCAAACATGGCCGCCTCCCTCGTGAAAGCGGAAAGAAGCAGCACTACAATTGATTCTTGTGCCATTCGGTTGCCTGAAACTGAAGACCTTCACGTCCAAGCCGGATGTCTCGGCTTGAACGTTGGAAGCGACATGCAGACAGCACGAAACCGAAACTGGCATGGTGCATGGTGCATTTCCTGCGCACCAGGACATTAACTCTAAGACTTGCAGCTGGCCTCTGGACAATCAAAGAGTAGAAGCACAGAGAGAGCACGAGTCGACGAGGACGTGTCAGATGTCAACATTCCGCGATGCCCAGCTGGCCGGCTATTCACCAGGGCGTGTTTACCTCGCATCTATATGTACAAGAGGTCTCACACTTTGCGGGCGACCTCCATCGGCTGCCACGTAGATCGGAGTAAGGTTCTGCTAACAGGGATAGCAATACCTAATGACTTGGGCGCCCGGGCGCTGCAAACAGAGGATGGCGGGGGAGGCAGCAAGGGAAGCATCGAAGTCTTCGAGCCTGGCAATACACGAATGAGGACTGTCTCTTGGCCTTGCAGATTCCAAGGCAACCCTGCCGGGTCTGCTGACAGCCTGCGGCTTCGTCTCTATGAGCTCCTCCAGCAAACCTGTGAGAAAAGAGGCTGTGGGCAGGCCACACACATGGCACACAGAGCTCTGGGCAACGATTCCTGTTGTTCCGGTCCTGCCTGAAGCCGAGGGGGAAGTAGGCTCACCTAGCAAACTGGAACAGCTCAAAAAGATTCTCTCCGGATGCTCGAAAGCATATGTAGCATCCTGCACACTCGAGGCAACCACCCTGCACCACCGCCAGTGCCGCATCCTGGAAACAAAAAGCTCCAATACCGCCCATTCAGAGGAGGGACCGGTTTGAGGTACAGCGACAAGACTCACTGATGCCTTCACTGGTTTAGGACTGCCCGGAGACAGCAGTACATGGACGAGGCTGTGGCAAGTTAAAGGAGGTTGACGGCAATTGGGGCTCAAGAAAGGCCAGCCGGGAACATCCCAGGCCTTGCACCGTAGCCTCACGTACTTCTGAATCTCTTGCCCGTGCTTTGTGCTGAAAGCTATAACCTGGCTGTCGGGCCGTGTCGGTCTCAGGATGGTCGTTTGACGGCCGTGGCCTCCTTTCGGAGATGGGCCTCGACGCACGTCCAGGAGCCCGTGCCTGAAGGAAGAGCTCGTGTAAAGCAGCAACTCTGGCTTCCGGACGGGCTGAAGGATGCTGAGGGCTCTGGCGCTCAAGCTTCTCACAAACGGCGATGAAGTTCAAGAGATCCTGCCCACTTCCTTCCACCTGCAATACTGTGATGGCACAAATGGCATTTGATTTCTGTTAGTTCTTTTGACGGTCGTGGATCTGATTGGACCACCTTGCCATCGAAGGCAGCGGTGTTGGCTGCATCCTGAACGATGGGACCCGTCATCTCTTCTTGACCAGCCCATCGAGGACACACCTCGAAGGCCGTTGCCGAGCAGCATATGAAACTACCACAAATCCTAGAGTAGGCTGGAGGGATCCCAAGTCGACAGAAGCTGCAAAAACATCGCGCAAAAAAACAAATCAGTGTCACGTCGTGATAAACGGTTTCTGACTGTCACTCCCTTTAGCGTTTTAGGGGCTGAAGGCTTAGGGAACCAGTCCTCCAAGGTTGAGCCTTTTCGGGTTTTGGGTGTGCCATACCACCTCTTCACTTTCGGCAACCTGTCCTTCTCTCCTGGGGCACCGAGCACCAATAACCGAAGCTCGACCCTCAAGCCCAAATGCCCCTCAATAACAGCCCCAAGCATTCGGGCCAAACCCGCAGCATCCAAACCAAAAAACCAGCATCAAAGTTCGACCAAACCCAAAAAAAAAACCTCACAGCAGATCCCAAGACTGAACCACAAAGCCAAACCCCCTCCCCCCACCCCCGTAAATACTTTCCCCACGGTGCTGCTGCGAGTCAAGGGTTTGGAAGCCCAAAAGTTGTGTGATTTCTGTAGCTCACTATTGCCGCAAATGGACGCCAAGCGTCCGAGGCACCCCGCCCCCCGTGTGTGGCTTAAACCGGGTCTATTTGGCAGCTGGAACTGCGTGCACGGAGAGAGACACGAAATCAGCTGCCAAATAGACCCTATCTTGTGTCCGCGGGTTCCTCGGCCGGGGAATTTCCCGGTGGCCTCCCCCATAGTCAAACTAAAAATGTTTTTTTTAGATTCCCAACCCCAAATATACTAGTTGAAACCATTTTGGGAATTTTAAAAATGTACAATAATTGAACCTTGGGGAGGGAGTCCGGGGGCGGTGGGGGTCAGAGAACCAAATAATTTACATGCGGGGGGCGGCCCACGATTTCTGCTCAATTCCCGGCCCCCACGGCTCCCCAAAACCCGTTCCCCAGGATTTTAACTTATTTAAACTACTTAATTTATTTAAATGTTTTAACTTCGTGCACCGATTAAACGGTTTAAATAATCCAAATCCGGGGGCCTCCCCCATATTCAAATTATTTAAACTATTTAGATTATTGAATTCGGGCCGGGATTTGTATTCTTTTCACAATTTGAATCCCGGGAGGAGGTCCCGGAGGGTCCCGAACCCCCGGAAGAAAATATTTTAAATACTTTAATTATTGGGGGAGGCCTCCGGATTTAAATTGTGTGAATTATTTAATTCCTGGCCCCCGGGACCTGGGAGCCCCCTCCCCAGGATTCAAATTGCTTAAGTTGCTTTTTATTATCTAATTCGGGCCGGAATTTAAGTAATTTAAATATTGTAAATCCTGGGGTGCGGGGTCCGGGGGTCCCGAACCCCCGGAATTAAATTATGTAAATGTTGGGGGAGGCCTCCGGATTTAAATTTATTTGAAAATATATATTTCCGGCCGAGGAACTCGTGGAAACCAGATAGGGTCTATTTGGCAGCTGGTTTTGGTGCTTCTCTCCGTACACACAGTCCTAGCTGCATCTAGCTGCAGCATAGACCCGGTTTAAGCCACACACACACACACACACACACACACACCCCGCCCCCCCCCCTCAACAAAAAACAGTGAAAATCAAGCCAAAATCTTGGAGGGCCCAAACCGCGACACACAAACAATCCCAAGACCCACGTTGTCGTAGACGGTCAATTCGCAAAAACACTTCGAGAAGCGAATCGCCAAGAAAATTTCGTAGTGGACGTTTCTTTATCCTTTATCATTATTCCGATTCTGGGGACTTCGTGGTGACGCTCGCTCGGCACAATGTTGCGCCGCTTCTGGAGCAGCTTGCAGCTTTCGGGGCATGTGCGAGACCCTCTCTTTAAGGCTGCAGCAACCAGTGAATTTGTTTCGGACGTAGCCGCTATCAATGAGGAGCGCAAGCGCGAAAACCGCCTGTCGCACTGCCAGCAAGTGTCCCCGGCAAATATCAGGGAGCTGTCGTGCAGGACCTTGACACATCTTTCGGCAAGCCAGCGAGGATATCAGCTGCGCGTCCCTCACCGTTGGCCTCCGACATGTCAATGGAGCTACAGCACCAGACTCTGCCTTCCTTAGACTATCCTTAAACTCATGGCCTTTGCAAGAAGCTCCGCAAGGGGAACTCGCAGCGCAGCCACTGCCTGCAATGGCGAAACACCACTTGCATTGCCTAGAAACACATGAATGTAGCGTCTCATCTAAAGCTTCAGAAGTCGCTTACCTTTTTCAGTTGTTCGCGCTGCTTCACCTCAAACCTGGGGCTGCACAGGCGGCTGGCCGCATGTGGCCGTCAGACAAGGCAGACAAGAAGCAAGTCCTCCGGTCTTCGCAAGGATGCCGACACGGCCTGCATGTCTTCCTTCATCCCGACCTGTGGTGAAACCCACTTCACGCTTGCCAAGGCCCTCTTCGCGCAGCTTCATGGCACTGCAGTGAGCGCCTCATCCTCCGCCGACGAAAAGAAGCGCCCCACGGTTTCTGCTGCCCCGAGCAGTTTCCAAGTCAGCGAGACATCCTGCGTTCAGCGAAGTCTGAGTCGAGGCAGAGATGTTGACGCAAACGCAAAACACCCGAAGTCAGCGTTTTGATCGCTTCCCTCCTCCATTCGATCTGAGGCTGCACGCTGGGCATCAAGGCGTAGCTCGAGTCCCAGGTGCTGGCATTGCGGGCGACGTATTTCATGCTGTTTATGCTAGGACTGTCTTGAAACCCCGCCATGCCCCGCCTCTGGCAAGAGGATAAGAGGACCATCACGAGGTTCAGCGCTTGACTGCGACGAGCATCGGTTCGCACAAGCCCTCGTGACTCTCTTTTCACTATTCCGACCTGGTACAATCCGTAGCCCATAGCATTGCGTCGCAAACAGTAGATTCCGCCGCCTCGGAAGGTGTGACTCGGCCCGGGTTTACAAGCAATATGTCGCGCCTGTTGCAGAGTCACGCTTGATCTCGGAGACTCCCATAGGCTCCTGAGCCTGCAGATCATGTCAGAGCACACACACACACAGACCACATGGCAAATTTCTCTCGACTCTGTCGGCGCAGAGTCATGCCTCAAATCGCGTGACCTTGACCCACAAAGCCGTGATGCTGTCCAAAGCCTCGATATCTTCGTTTCCACAGAAAAGAGGCCACGATTGAGCCTGACCTCTTGCAGGATGCTGGAAGGCATACTCATGTCCTGCTGGAAGGATGGCACCGGCCTCCCGGACAAATTCGTTTGCAGCGAATCTTCAAGACAACAGAAATTTTCACCGGTAAAGCATAGATCCCTGCTATGCGATCTTTTCAACTGCTTCCGGCTCTGACTCTCTTCGGATCTGATCGGGTTCATCGAATATTTCAATCGTATTTCATACAGAAATGCTCTTTCGATGCTAGGAGGATCGACCGTTTCCCGGCCGGATCTCGCAGAATGAAAGCAGACGAAAGTGAAACGCCTAAAGAAGGTTAGGGAGGATGGGAGAAGAAAGTTTCGATTCGAAATTTATACCAGAATGGAAGCTTTCACCGATAAAGCATAAATCCCTGCTATGCGCTCTTTTCCAACTCCTTCCGATTCTGACTCTGTTCGGAGTCTGATCGGGCTTATCGGCAAGTTTCAACCGCATTTCATACAGAATGTTTTTCGATGTTAGGAGGACCGACCGTTTCCCATCGGTGGTGGTCGCGTCCTCCCATCGCAGGCGAACGCCAC